TGGTATGGTATGGTATGGTATGGTATGGTATGGTATGGTATGGTATGGTATGGTATAGAGTTGAGCTCTGCCAGGGTTACCAGCACCCACCCATTCTGTTCATAACTTTCAAGGACAGAAAATCTCGGTGCAGCGAAGAGGTGGAGAAAGACCAGTTTCTCTGCTATTTGCAGATGTCGTGTCGATATCTTCAGCTCTCACTGGAGCGGTTTGCAGCCGAGTGTGAGGCGGCTGGGATGAGGAGCAGCGGCTCCAAAACTGAGGCCATGGTCCTTAGCCGGAAAAGGATGGATTGCCCTCTCCTGGTTGGAAGGTAGGTTCTGCCTGAAGTGGAAGAGTTCAAGTATCTTGGGGTTTTGTTCACAAATAAGGGAAGAATGGAGTGTGAGATTGACAAATGGATCTGTGCAGTGGTTACAGTATTCTCTGTTGTGGTAAAGAAGAAGAGGAGCTGTAAGGTAAAGATCTATATTTAACGGTCATTCTACGATCCTTTCCTCACCTATGACTGCAAACTCTTAGGAGTTAGGAGGCTTAGGCGAACAACCAAGGGTGTTCACATAGGGGGTAAGGTCAGAAAAGCATACATCACTTGTACCTGTTGCTGTTTCAGTGGGTGGTATGACATCTGCTTCCATCACTGCATGGCAAAAACTTGTGGGATGTTTCGTTTTTGGTAAAAAAAAAAGATATTTCCCTGATTATGTGAAATTGTTATTTTTGGTTTAATAGGGATTTTGAGGAATAATGAAATTAACTGGGCAGCATGGTGGCGCAACTGGTAGAGCTGCTGCCTCTCAGCGAGCAGGTCCCTGGTTCAAACCCCGGTCCAGGGGCCTTTCTGGATGGAGTTTGCATGTTCTCTCCGTGCATGCATGGGTTTTCTCCGGGTGCTCCGGTTTCCTCCCACAGACCAAAAACATGCATGTTAGGCTGATTGGTAACTCTAAATTGTCCCTAGGTGTGAATGAGAGAGTGAACGGTTGTTTGTCTCATTTGTCTCTATGTGGCCCTGTGATGGACTTGCGACCCGTCCAGGGTGTACCCCGCCCCTCGCACAGTGATTGCTGGACATGGGCACCAGCGACCCCCGTGACCCAAAATGGAATAAGCGGGTAAAGATAATGGATGGATGGATGGATGGATGAAATTAACTGTTAAAATTGTACTTTTTAATATGTAAAGCATGTGTACTTTACTTGAAAGAAATGTGCAGATGTTGTTTCTTGCAGAGTGAAGAGATGTTTTGCCTGAAAACTAAGAGTTAATGGCGACTCTGAGGAGGCAGAGAGAGAATGATGTGAGGTGGTTTCAGAGAGGTGGTTAAAGAGAGGTGGCTTACAAGAAAGTCAAGTGTTTTTCCATTTTGAAAATTAAATAAATAATGATCTAAAATTTCTCGACTTACCATTGGATTTGTTTGGAAGATTTTCATTTAGATTCGAGAAATGTTTGTTTGGAAAATATCCCTCTGACAGCCACCAACACCTTCACAATGTGTGTATTTATTTTTGAAACTTTTGGTGCATTTTTGCAACAAACAGATTGTTAATAACCAATAAAAGTGGTTTATGGCTTTAACCAAGTCACTATACCACACTATCAAGCTGTGATAAAGATGTACCCTTACACACACAAATTGTTTCAACCCTGTGACTACCTCACTTAGTAAAGGGGAAACAGCAGTAGATTTACTTCAACTCCCTATGCTTTCCCATCCATTGCATAAATAGCACCAAGACAGGAGCAGAGCATATCAGGACTGGTTTGAAGTATTTAATGAAAGGGATTTATGATACAATCAAAGGTGGTAGAAAAAAGGGGTGCTGTTTTAGAAATCCATCCAAGAACTACAATGAAATTGAAGGCAACAGGTAATCAATTACCCAAACTGGCATTTTGTAACTCTGTACAACCAACATAGAAATAAATATTGTACTAAGGAAATATTACCTGGCATCCTAACAAGAGACTTTTGCGCATGTTGGCCACTCGGATCATAAGGCAGGGTTTGCCCTCATGATTTGACACAGCAGCATGTTGACTAAACTTTACTGTCTCACCTCTCTTCTTAGGACGAGCAACCTGTAAAGGAAAAATGAGAAATTGAAGATTAAGTCTGATTCTTATTACTGTGAAGATTTCTCACAACCTTTATCAATCATTTAAAAGATGTCAGATTCATTACTTCTTTGCTTGTACTGTGGTACTTAATAAATAATCACAGAAAGGGACTGATTAGGCTACTGATAATTACTGAGTCTAGGTATGTTATAAATTATAGATGAGTATTAAGGCAGCAAAAAATTAACTGTTTCTAATATACTAGAAAAATGTTTAGGTGTTCTTTAAAGTAAAAGTGATGTGAAGCAAAATATATATTTTGATTTCAAAGTTTTATTGTACCTTGTGCAATTTTTTTAAATAAATGCAGCATTCCTCAGATAACACATAGGTTAAAAAGTTGAGACAAAAAAATTACCTTTGCAAGAAAAGTGCCAGTGATGAAGATTTCCATCACCATGGTGATGACCAGCTGAACAATGAGGAGGACTATTGCTACAGGACACTCCTCTGTGATGCAACGGAAACCGTAGCCAATTGTGGTCTGAGACTCCAGGGAGTAGAGGAAGGCTCCCGTCAGGGTCTTCACCTCCATTACACAAGGGGTATGATTGGAGGGGGGGTTGAACTCTGGAGGATAAGAGAAAAAACATGAAATCTTTAATCCCTTTGGAATAAAAAATGGTGTTCTGTTTGCTTTTCTTTGTGGTTTACTCATTCACAACAAACATTTGAAAGAATTCCCAATTTCAAGAGGCATGACTTGAAATATTTTATAGTAGTTCAATTGAAACTCTAATTGTTGAATAGATTTAGTAGTATTTTTTCAAAAGTATTGATTCATGTGTGGCAGCACGGTGGCGCAACTTGTAGAGCTGCTGCCTCTCAGCGAGCAGGTCCCTGATTCAAATCCAGGTCCGGGGGTCTTTCTGGGTGGAGTTTGCATGTTCTCTCCGTGCATGCGTGGGTTTTCTCCGGGTACTCCAGTTTCCTCCCACAGACCAAAAACATGCAGTTAGGCTGATTGGTAACTCTAAATTGTCCCTAGGTGTGAGTGAAAGAGTGAATGGTTGTTTGTCTCGTTTGTCTCTATGTGGCCCTGTGATGGACTGGAGACCTGTCCATGGCGTGCTCCGACTCTTGCACAGTGATTGCTGGACATGGGCACCAGCGACCCCCGTGACCCAAAAATGGAATAAGCGGGTAAAGAAAATGGATTGATGGATTATTAAGGCCAAATAAAGATAAGTTGTGTACACACAGAGAAAATGTAATTATTACACTCCATATGTCTATATCAAGAGTGTTGGGGAAGTAAAAAGGAACAATAAAATATGGAAACACATATAAATTAGCTTGATAAATCTTCTTCTTATGTGTCAACTTTTAGAACACTAAGTAATGGTATTATTGGGGGGGGGGGGGGGGGACATTGAGGCATGCTTTACTATTTGACTAAAAGTATATGGCAACTGTTGAATTCAGGTATTTCAGTCAAGGTTTGATCTAGGCCTCTGATCTCCAGTGTTGGGTGATCTTAAGGCTTAAGCATACCAAGACATTTTGGACAAGTCTGTGCCTCTTACTTTGTGGTAACACTTAATGGAAGGCTCTGGATGTGACTGGCATACACAGATGTCCCATCGCAACTCCATCAAGCACCTTTGAAATGGACTGGAACAGAGGTTTTAAGCAAGGCCTTCTCATCCAAGATTGGTGCCTTACCTTATGAATGCTCTACTGAATGAATGGGCACAAACCCCAACAGAAATGCTCCAAAATCTTGTGGAAAGCCTTCAAAGAATGGCGAAAACTGCTATAGCTCAGAGGATGGACAAACCACAATGTATGAACTTCTGCAAGTCCATACTCTTCCTGATGGTAAAATGGTCTTTTGTGGCCAAATTTGTTTGTCCATATTTGAATGAAAAATGCACCTCCCACAGCATGGGACCTATCTCATCTCTGAAACATGGTGGAGTGAGAGTCATTGTTTGGTTATGCTTTTCTTGGGACCTGACCACTAGGATATCTTGTCTGCTGCAACATCTGTGTGTTTGGTACACACAAAACAATGGTTTGAAAAGATGAAACAACCAAATGGTAAATGGACTGTACTTATATAGCGTCTTTCTATCTTATCAAGATACTCAAAGCACTTTACAACACATATGCCCTCATTTACCCATTCATAACACTTTATTAGAGCAAGTATTAGAAGCAGTGTAGTTTGATCAAAAGAAGCATGTTCAAACAAGACTTACAGTCCTGTGTACTTTAAGTGGTAACCCAGTAGTTCCAAGAAACAAGGAAAATGATTAGGGTGTTAATTGTTTAAACCTGATACTGTATATATTGTATATACTGTATGTCAATAATTATGTTCTGTTTACATCAGTTTTCCACTGTTTTTCCTCCTTACCAAGCAGATCTCCATGAACAAGTGCCACCAGGTACCAAAGTACTCCAAACAGGAACCAGGTTCCAGCAAATGTAGCAGAAAAGAGGAAGAACTTGTAGCGCCATTGCATGTCCAGGAAAGTTGTCCAGAGGTCCCGGAGGTACAGGGCTCCTCTGCCACTGACATGCTCAATCCGGACATTGCTTCGTCCATCTTTGGAGAGGACTCTGCGTCTTTTACGCAGCGCATTAGTTCCTTCAGCTCCAGGTCCTCCTCCACCTGAACCAGGACCCAAGATTCCCCCTATCGAACCCAGCAGAGGCTTGGTGATGTCAGTCTGTGTCTGGGAATGACAGACTTTCTGAGGGGTGGAGTCTTTGGAGGATGGGGGAGTCGCTGAAGTCATAGCTGGCACTGCAGGTGGGTAGAAACAAACAGAGGGGACATCGGAAAAAGAGGTGTGAAAAATTGGCTTAAAACAGGAAGCAAAAAATCATGGTAAAGAGGAAACAAAGTGAACAGCAGGTGATTTAAAATGAAAAGGAGCAGAATGAGTTCAACAGGTGAAAAGAACAAGAGTATGGGCTTTAAGGAAAATGTCAGACTGGAACATTGAGGTGGAATGGTAGATAACAGAACAGAAAAGGAAATAATAAAAGGATTAAAGGTGCATTTTTCAGCATGACAGTGGTGTTGCCTTTCTTGGTGGTCTCTTTAAGACTTGTTTCCTTCGCACTATGGGTGAGTTTGAGCAGGGCCAAGACCAAAGTAGATTACTGCCACATTCTAATCTCACAAAAACAATAGTGTTTTGTGCAAATGCCATTTTATTAACTTTAACTACACCATGAAGTGCACATTACACTGTTACAGTACTTCAGAATGAGTATTATGATAGCTTGGCCTAATTCTCGCCTGTACTTGCAAATAATCATGTAAATTACTGAAAGACTAAGCCTTCCTTGAACAAGTGCATATCAGCCACCACCTTTCACACTGGTGTTTTAAACCTTTTAGTTGAGAAATCTTGGAGTTGGAGCTGTTCTGGTCAAAGTTTGAAAAGAAAATTCATTCATTCATTCAACCTTTATTTAAACAGATTAAGACACATTGAGCCCCGAAGACTCGTTTACAAGTGAGACCTGTTTGGACAGACAATAAAAAGTGGTGAAAAATGACACATAAGGTTTGGAAACAAAAAAAATTCCTAACACGCTTTGGTCAACAGTGTGATAATGAAAAAATATCTTGCACATGAGCACATAGCTCAGCTCAGCCGACATTACATGGGGGGGGGGGGGGGGGGGCGGACGACGCAAGGGCGGTGAGCAGCCAGAGACAATACACAGAGGCACTGCAGTTCAGATAAAATCACTCAGTTCATAAAGTTCCCTCTGGAGAGATCGTTCACACTCAAGGGGTGCCAAGGACAACCAGAGATGAATCCAGAGTTCTGAAATGATGACAGAATGTTTATTCAGCTGGGCTCCCCTGAAAAGTCCATGGAAATCCCTCAGTAGGAGGGGAGGGAGGGGGTAGAGCATCATGTTTACAAAACCTCCTGGCAGGTTGAGATAAAATGGCCTGTCAAGGCCAGTCAGGGAGCCAAATTCAGATAAACAAAATTGTTTTGGGGACAGGCAGAACTTTAGTGACATCTACCTTTAGTGTGTGTCGGTCCACTTGGATTCGAAACGTCAAATTAAATGACCATACCAATGGAACCTGCCTGAGAATAATCCCCGAGATCTGATCCATTCTGTCAAGAGTCTGGGTGCTCGAGGCACAAACCAAGCCATCATATAAGGCAGGCAGCCTGACCAGGTCCAGATTTACTGCCGCCGACTTCCTTTTTGTTGATAGACCAGGAACCAGCCAAAGCCAAAAAGCATGAACCAGTTATCATGAATCTAATTATAAATGTGTCCTTAAAATCCACAGATGACAGTAGAGATAGACACATCATCAAGTCTTCAAAGTCGATGAGATATCCAGTTGAATGCGTGCCAACAGGGCAAATTGGCTCTTCAAATAAATGTTATCAATTGTGTTGACAGACCAACTGATCAAATCCAAGTCCATCTTTATGATTAGGAAGATTTGTAGAAGAGAAGCTCTAAAGCAGTTTCACAGACAGGACAGAGCAAAAGCAAAGTGGAGAGGGAGAGGAGAAGACGTCCGCCCTTGAGAAGAGCATGTGTTGAAATAAAGTTACATGTAATCTAATGAGATATCACAAGAGGTCACAGTCAAGAGTTTGTGTTGGGAATGATTCTCAGATACTATCACATCATATTCTAACTCAATACCTGCTAAATTGATAGAGTTATAGTCATTTTTGTGTTGTTTCATGTCAATGAACTGTGCCAGTCAGCTTGAATTAAATCTACTCTAAACAATAATCAGTTATAGATATACATACAATGATTATTTCCTGAAATTTTCATTAAAATACATCCAGTTTTTCATGAGAAATTTTGCTAGCAGACATACAGAGTTGACTTCACAATCTGATAGCAAAATTTTAAACAAAAACTTGCACAATCTATTAGTTCTCAAAATATATGTTTGGGATTGGTCTCAGCATCTACCACAGCAAAATTACTTGGAGTTATTGTCATTTTAAAGTTTTTAAGGTCAATTGGCTGTCACAGCCATATTGAATCAAGTTGATTCTGAAAGTTAATCAGATGGACAACAAAAATCGTTACTTCCTGCAAGCATCATTAAAATATGTTCAGTGATTCCTGAGATATTTTGGTTACAGCCAGCCACAAAAACATACACAAAGAAAAACATATTTATCTGCCTTCAGCTTTTGGCAGCATGTAATCATAATCAGTCAGAAAATGTTTATATAAAGAGACCGCACAAACCACTTTGAAATTATTGATTAGACTTGTGATAAGATAATGGTAATCCACTTTGGTCTTGACTTTGCTTGTATTAGCCTTTAACCTATCTCTGCAAACTGATGCCATGAAATGTCATCTACAACAGGTAAAATAATAATTGTTCATAACCTTGCCACAAAACCCCACTTCAAAAGGACTGAACTGTCCCTTTAACGTAGCCCATAGATTGACACAGATCGATTCAGGTCATTCAAGGGTAACAGTTGGTAAATGTGTGTTTTTGTTTCGGTGTTCTAAAGGAAGAACTGCACCGAGCTCTGATGGAGGCCAAGTTCACCACCTTTGGGAAGCTGTGGAAAGCCACCTGCAGCTCAGGTCTTGTAACCCAGTATCATTGCCCATCATCACTAATACCCTTAATGAATGAAAACAAATCCTCCGGGCCACGTTTTAAAAATTTTATGAAAAGCACTTTTCCTATTGTAAAACATTAATAATCACTGCATTAGATTTATTTGTTTTGCAATAAAATATGGGTGTTTTCTTGGCGTGGCCTCAAACTGCCCCTTCATCAAATGATAATAAGCTGGGATGGAGCTGTTCGTCTTATAGTGTCAATAGTTGATTAAGTGAATGAGAGATCTCCCACCCCTGGGTGCCATGGACACTTGTAGTCACTGTGTTGGTGTTTCTTTGTACACAGTTAGACTTCCACTCATCTGGGCTTCGGTCTCTCTTCATGTCCTTTTTCTCTTCTTTCTTCTTTCTCAATCAACCCTTTTTGTCCTATTTTTTTCTGTGCTTTCCAGACCAACTAAAACAACCCCAAAGACAACACAACACAAACAAAGGCCCAAAAATCAGGGCGATCTGATACACTCTGTCCCTTCCTGTCCTCCCTGACCCTTGTCTCGCCTCCCTCCATGCTGGAGCTCTCACTGAGTGAATGAATGGCGAGCTGTGTTGAGCTCTGCGCTATGAATACTGAGCTGTGGAGGGGGGGTGGGGGGAGTGGTCAGGATCATGTGCTTGTGATTGGACTTGGCCATCACCAGTTGAACTCTGAACCCAGCAGAGTTCCTGCCTACACATACAGTAAACATAACACTTGTGTACCGACATATAGACCAGTTAGAAAGTTGTACAGTACAATACTATTTATTGTTCCAAGGAATGTTTGGTTTGCAAAGACAAAAACTTTTACACAGAGCACAGGACTGTTCATAATTATTTATTATGAATTGTACATTTTAAAATATAGGGTGCTATTTTGTTATTTCTACTGTCCCAAACTGTTGTTGTAAAAGTCACTCGTATATCTGACTTTTTGTCAAAATCCATGGTCTGTTCTTATCTTTTTCATTTTATGGTTCTACGTATCAGAACATTTAAAAATATGTAGTCTTTACCGTGTTCTAATTAGCCAGTTCTAACTTCAGAAAAAACACTTAACTGATTCCGTCTTGTCAGTATTTAATAAAATAAAACTGTAAAAATAGAAAAGATGTGTCTGCTCAGCTTGAAAAACCTCCTTAGCAGTGATCATTTCTGTTTAAATTTATCAGTCACTCACTTGGTTGTGGAGGAATTTTGCCCCATTTTTTGAAACAACATTGTTTCAATTCTTTGAGGTTTGCAGACATTTGTTCCTGGACAACTCCTTGAAAGTCCCGCCACAGCATTTGAATCAGATGAAGAGTTAGACTTTGACTGGGTTGACTGGTTTTGTCTTATTTTAGGACCCAGTTTGGTCCAAGCTTCAGTTGCTGGACAGGTGTCATCACTTTTGACTCTGAAATTGGTATACAGAGGAGTTCATGGTCAACAATGACTGCAAGGTGCCCAAAACAAGATCAAGTCTTCAGCCCTTCACCACCATGCTCGACAATTGGGATGAGGTGTTGGTGCTGATGTGTTGTTTAGCTGTGCATTATGAGTAAACATCTCTACTTTGCTCTCATCTGTCCAAAGGACATTGTTCCAGATGTCTTGTGGGTCAATCAGAGGAAAATGTACCATCTAAGTTGTGCTGCCATGTTCTTTTTAGAGAGAAGTGTATTTCTGCTGCAACTCTTCAAAACAAGCCATACATGTTTAGCCTTTCTCTAATTAGCCTGTAATGACCATTAACCTACTACGAAGGATGCTGCTTGTAGAATCTGAGGTGGCGTTCTTGGCTCTTATGGTTTTTCTCTGAGAATTGCACTGTTTGACCTTTGGGTGAATTTGCTGGGACGTCCACTCCTGGGACGATTGGCAGCTGTCTTCAATGTTTGCTAATTATGAGTAATAATTCACGCTGTAGGTTGACAAACTCCTAACTGTTTGAGAAATACTGTTAACCCTTCCCAGATTGATAGAAGGCAACAGTCGAATGTCATTCTTTGATATGCAACTATTTTGGTCATTGCCGATGTCTTTCCATCTTGGCAATGTGCTAACACACCTGTTTGCTCCAGAACAGCAACCAGACTAAACTCATCCTTTTATAGAGGTGCTCACACTGATGATGATCACTTATTCATCACGTTTAATCAGCAGCACCTGGATG